AGTTCCTACTATCTCCAGTGACAAGGTTGCTTTTAGCACAGTCACCCATTCTCACATACTGCTAGGCCCATTATCACATTATATGTGTTGCATTTAGTACAGCTCACCCATTTTCTCCTACTTTTAGATCTTACTCAGCATTTCTTCTGTCCTGGCCTGCCATCCATAATCTCCGTGTTAACCCACCCCCCCTCTCTCTCTGGGCTTCATCTCCACCTAGCCGTTCACGCCTCACCAACTTCACTTTCAGCTTAAATGCCACCTTTTCCTTGCTGCTAACAGTTCTGATGAACAGTCACCAGACTTGATATATTAAGACTGCTTTCTTTCCACAGATGCTGCCAGACCCATTGAGATTCACCAGCAATTTCTGTTTTAGTCTTAGATCTTCAGCAACCACAGTTCTTTGTTTTATTATCGGAGCAGGGATAAATTTTTTTTAGCAATAGCAAGTAGACAAAATACCCAGCCAACCATAAAATCCTGCCTGAAGAGCCAGAGAAACAGCATAAGTTATGACACAGAAGACAGGCCTTTGGCCCATCATGTCTGTGCCAGCTGAAACAGAGATCTCCAACAAAATCCCACCCTCTAGTTTTTGCTCCATAATCCAAAAGGTTGCAGTACCCTGAGTACATAGTTGAGTGTTTCTCAACTCTTGTAAAAAGTGGAGGTGAAATCTTGCAGATGTGACAGTGGATCCTTAGAAAGAGTCAGAGACTAAGAAATTCAGAACTGTGGAGAGCCAGTGTTCATGAACCCACCTGAGCCACTTGGAAAGAGGCCTTGATCCAGGAGGCTGTCAAATGTCAGCAATTACCAGCTATAAGAAAAAAGATGCTCCTGAGGCACTGGTGCCCTGTGGTATTGATCCCCTTGATAAACCCTCCTGTATAACTGGTTGTGCAGGGAGCAACTCCCTGAGTCAATGTGTGCTGCTCGTGTTGGTGAAACTGGTCCTGTTGCTCCTCATCAGAAGCCCAACATAGGGCTGCACAGACTGTTCCAATGCTGCAGCCAAAACTAACCACAGGGAACGCCAGATTGAGGTCAGTAAACTCGCAGAAAATTGGAAATCACTTCTAAAGTCCCAGAACCTCAGTCTCTGAACAAGCGTTGCCTGCATGTGCCTTTCACATTGTCAGGCTTCTAGTTTCACTCCAGGAGTTACAATTAGCCAAAACGGAGCTGGGATCAAATGTGGTTTTAAAGCAATTTATGAAGAAGTAACAGCTTAGATACGATACCTCAGCCAAATAGACAGAGAAAGCATATAATGTGTAACAATTAATAAAAACTCCAACTCCAACTCCAACCTGAAACCTAACCCTAACCCTAACTCTAACCGTAACTCTAACCGTAACTCTAACCGTAACTCTAACCGTAACTCTAACCCTAACTCTAACCGTAACTCTAACCCTAACTCTAACCCTAACTCTAACCCTAACTCTAACCCTAACTCTAACCCTAACTCTAACCCTAACTCTAACACTAACTCTAACACTAACTCTAACACTAACTCTAACACTAACTCTAACACTAACTCTAACACTAACTCTAACACTAACTCTAACCCTAACTCTAGCCCTAACCATAATCTTAAACCTAACTCTAACCCTAACCCCAAGTCAAACCCTAATCTTATCCCTGACCCTAATCCTAACTCTAATTCTAACCCTAACTCTAACCCAGGTCAGGCAAGGCTGTGGGTATGAACATCTTTGTCTCTTTTCCCCTTCTTTTCTCAGTGCTTCGAGTGTTGTTGAATTCTTGGCTTGTACACAACAGGTTGTGCACACTTGTTTCCTAAATTTTCATTTTTAACCCTTCCAGGTCCTTTCTTCTCCATCTCAACTGTGTCAACATTAACCCCGTAGAGTTCCTTCTTTCAAAACTGGAATGGCTGAAAGTTTATAGCAGGGTTCCTGGATGGGTATAACACCTCACTCAGGCCTTTTGCTGAACCCAACGACTCAGTCTGTGTGTGACCTCAGAGTTCTCTTGAATGAAAGACTAGTTCAAAGGAGCCTTATTAGAAAAATAACAGGATTTATAAGAATGTGGATTGAGAAGACACTGACATTATCAAACACTTCTTTTTAATTCATAAAACCTTCTGTTGTACAAAGATCAGCCATTGAGGTCCATTCTTATGTCATGTAAATGTAAATCCACCTATCAGAAATCCACAAATATCTCAATCACGCAGTGCATGGAGTGAGGCAGTCCTTATCTGCACAAGACTGTATACAGACACCGCAAATTACTAAAACCACTTCCATTAACCTTACATGAGACATGGTAGTGAAGAAAGCATTTGGCATGCTTGCCTTTATTGGTCAGTGTATTGAATATAGGAGTTGGGAGATCAGCTGTACAGGACATTGTTTATGCCACTTTTGGAATATTGTTTTCAATTCTGGTCTCCCACCTATAGGAAAGATGTTGTGAAACTTGGAAGGGTTAAGAAAGGATTTACAAGGATGTTGCCAGGGCTGTAGCGTTTAAGCTATAGGGAAAGGCTGAATAGGCTGGGACTATTTCCCCTGGAGCATCAGAGGCTTAGGGGTGACCGTACAGAAATTTATAAAATCATGATGGACACGGATAGGGAGAATAGTCAAGGTCTTTTTCCCAGGGTAGGGGAGTCCAAAACTAGAGGGCATAGGTTTAAGGTGTGAGAGGAAAGATTTAAAAGGAACCTAAGGGGCAGCTTTTTCACACAGAGGGTTGTGCGTGTATGGAATGATCTGCCAGAAGAAGTGGTGGAGGCTGGTATAATTACATTTGGAAGGCATCTGGAATTGTATGCAACTAAGAAGGGTTTAGAGGGACATGAGCCAAATCCTGGCATATGGGACTCAATTAATTTAGGATATCTGGTCAGCATGAACAAGTTGGACCAAAGGGTCTGTTTCCGTGCTGTATATTTCTATGTGAGGAATCTATATACAGTGAACAGAATCAAAACCTTTAAGCTCCGATGTTTGTGATTACAATAAAATTGAAGTGAGTGATTTTTTTTTTAGTAGGACTTGATGCTGCATGTCTTGAATGTTGTGAACACATTATTACATATCATTGACTGTTAAATAATGTCAGTAGTACTTTTGAACATTTTAATCTAATTCAGGAAGTTACAATCTTCTCTGAAGCAGGTTACTTGTCGTAACTTGTTTCTGTCGAAGGATGTAAAGTAACCAGCTCACAGGTTGTCTTTGGGGTTGTGTTCTTCTCTCTGGAGACACAAAGAAATATTCTCACAGAATCACAAAACTGTTACAGTACAGGAAGAAGCAATTTGTCCCATCGGGGCTGCACAGGTTCTCTGAATGCTTCGGCTTGCTGCCAAACTTCTGCTATTCCCTCACAACACGGCATATTGTTTCTTTTTAAGTAGTCATCTAGTGTCCTCCTGAATGCCTTACTTTAACCTGCCCCCATTACAATTCCCGGTTATACATTCTAGACCCTAATTACTCCATGTTTTAAAGCTCATGCTTCTTTATCAGTATCTTTAAATTGTGGACTGAAATGACAAAAGAACTGTTTTAAAACCAAGGATTACTGCAATTTTTGAAAGCAAGTAACCTGACTCTCATTGCAAGCATTGTTTACATAGCCACTTGTCCAAATGGTGTTTGAAGTCCTGTTTGTAGATGAGCTAAGCTAAATGTTTTTGTGCAAGTGGAACTTTGACTGGCAATGTGAAGCTGATTGGTCTGTGGACTAGTGACCAGTTATCGATGACAAAGGCCTTCTGCCCGCCAACAAATATGTAATTTGTTCTCAGTTAGGGGCTTGGGCCTGTGAAGAAAGTAGAGAAGAGCCTTCAGAACTCCACCAGCTGAAAAGCTCTGTCTGCTCTCTGTCATAAGAGCTACCTTAAGTCTGAAGAAAATCAGATTATTTTTACTTCAGCAGTTGCTGTAAACCATGACTTTTATTTAATAAATCAGTGACATTTCATAAGTTTGAACCCACCCCAAGCCCCCTAAAAATCAATGAAAACATCTGGAAAACAATGACTGAGGTACAGCATTCTGACCAGAATGAGAATCAGCTCAGTAGACCCTATGAACAAAAACCACTGAACCAATCTTTCCCTTTGTCCGTAACACACATATTTCTTGTCTTATCGGTGTCAGTGTGTGTAGAAGAGGGTTTATAAGGGGATTAGTAATTTAATTAGCAGAGTTATATTCTGACAGTTCATTCTGTACCTGTAGCTAAAGCCTAATTGCTTGGAACAAATGGCAATTTTTGTTAAGTACAGAAGCCCTAGTCAGTTCTTTCCGTCAACCTGTGTCTAAAAGCCAAGTAAATAGGGAATCCTTGCGTATTTTCAAACATCTTTACCCTTTGTGACTGGTCTGGGGATAGAGGGTCTGGAGGTGCTATCCCAGTGAGTCAGGACACTGTGTGAAAAAGTTTTTCTTATCTCTCATTTGCTTCTTTTGGAAGTCACTTCAAATCTATGCTTTCTGGTCCTCCATCCTCTTATAAGCAGGAAGTTTCTCCCTGTCTCATCCTGGAACCATTCTAATGCACACTCTCCCAATGTGTTCACATCCTTCCTGAAGTGTGGACCCCAGAACTATACACAATACTCCAGCTCAGGCCTAACCAGTCGACTGTTGTATTTTAAGGCCCAGTTAATGAAGCCTAGAATACTATACATTTTACTAAGTTCTGTCTCTACTTATTATTAAAATTTTCTGGGCTCTTCACTCAATAAAACTCCAACAATGACTGCCCTGCTCCAAGGCTAGCCTCACACATAGTTCCCAATTTACATACCGTCCAATGGTTTCTGCTTCTTCAATGGTCTCTGGTAAGGTAACCCCCATGGTTTCAGGTAGAAACAAAACTAGTGCACCAGCAATCAAAGCAATCACTCCTGCAAATCAAAACGCACAATGTATTGAATATTGATAGTGTTTGTTCAGTTTACTCATGCAAAAAGCAAATTGTGACTTTCAAATGCATTGACTGCAAATTTGTCACTCTTATGGTGGCTCAGTGGTTAGCACTGCTGCCTCACAGCACCAGGGACCCGGGTTTAACTCCACCCTCGGGTGACTGCCTGCATGGAGTTTGCACGTTCTGCCCGTGTTTGCATGGGTTTCCTTCGGGTGGTCCGGTTTCCTCCCTCAGTCCAAAGAGCAGGTTAGGTGGATTGGCCATACTAAATTGCCACAGTGTTCATGGATGTGTAGGTTAGGTGGATTAGCTATGGAATATGCAGGATTACAAGAATAATATATGGGGCTGGGATGCTCTTCAGAGGGTCGGTGTGGACTTGATGGGCTGAATGGCCTGCTTCCACACTGTAGGGATTCTATGATTAGGTTATTCTGTGCCAAAAGTGCCTTTGGACTAGAGATTGGCACCCACAATGAAAATGCAGGTTATTTTGTTGAGAACATTAGAATATGTGTAATCATCGTCCATTTTAAATATATAGAATGCAATCTCATTGGAGTAATATCTCACTCAGAGATAGTAAGAACTGCCGATGCTGGAGTCTGAGATAACACAGTGTAGAGCTGGAGGAACACAGCAGACCATGCGAAATCAAAGGAGCAGGAAAACTGACGTTTTGGGTCGGGACCCTGCTTCAGAAAATTTTTCTACAGAAGGGTCCTGACCCGAAACCAGCTCCACCAGTACAGTTACAGCACTGGCATCAAACTGACAATGCAGAACATTACCCAGGTATGTAAAATAAAAACCGAAAGAACTGCGGATGCTGTAAATCAGGAACAAAAACAAAGTTGCTGTAAAAGCTCAGCAGTTCTGGCAGCATCTGTGAAGGAAAAAACAGAGTTAATGTTTCGGGTCCGGTGACTCTTCTTCACAACTGACAGTGGCTTGGAAGTCGTCAGCTTATATGCAGAAAATAGGGAGGTGGGTGGGGTAGGGAGTAAACGATAGGATAGAGCCCAAAGAGAGAGAAAGACAGTTGGACAGACAAAGGAGTTGCTAACGATCAGGCTGGGAGGGTGAATAGTTGTTAATGGGGACTGTTAGTGACTAAAAACAGGGGATGTGTAATGGCAGGCTATGTGGTAACAAGGCCTGGTGTGTGGGGCGGGGGACTGGGACATGGCGGGGTTTAGGCCCTAAAATTATTGAACTCAATATTGAGTCCGGAGGGCTGTAGGGTCCCCAAGTGGAAAATGAGGTATTGTTCCTCCAGCTTGCATTGGGCTTCGCTGGAACACTGCAGCAAGCCAGAGACAGATGTTGGCCAGGGAGCAGGGTGGTGTGTTAAAGTGGCAGGCAACAGGTAGTTCAGGGTCTTTTTAGCGAGCAGAACGTAGATATTCTGCAAAGCGGTCGCCAAGTCTACGCTTCATTTCCCCAGTGTCGAGGATACCACATTGTGAGCAGCGAATGCAGTAGACCAGATTCTGGGAAGTGCAGGTGAGGTGTTGCTTCACCTGGAAAGTATGTTTGGGCCCTTGGATACTGGGGAGGGAGGAGGTAAATGGGCAGGTGTTGCACCTTCGCCGGTTACAGGGGAAGGTGCCGTACGGGTGTGGGGAGGTTTTGGGAGTGAAGGAATTGTGGACTAGGGTGTCCCAGAGGGAACGGTCCTTGTGGAAGGCGGACAAGGAAGGGGAGGGGAATATGTGTCTGGTGGTGGCATCTTGCTGGAGGTGGCGGAAATGGCGTCTGATGATCTTCTGGATGTGGATGCTGGTGGGACGGTAGGTGAGGATAAGGGGAACCCTTTCGCTGTTGAGGGAGGGAAGAGAAGGGGTGAGGGCGGAAATGCGGGAGATGGGTCAGACCTGGTTGAGGGCCCTGTCAACAACGGAGCTGGGGAATCCTTGATTGAGGAAGAAGGTGGACATTTCAGAGATTCCCTTGTCGAAGTTGGCCTCATCTGAACATATGCGATAGAGATGGAGGAACTGAGAGAATGGCCAAGCTTGTCCTCACCCTCAACAACTTCTCTTTCAACTCCTCTCATTTTCTTCAGGTAAGGGGTTGTCATGAGTACCCACATGTGCCCTAGTTATACCTGTCTCTTCATGGGGTACGTGGAACATTCCTTGTTCCAGTCCTATTCCAGCCCCTCCCCACAACTCTTTCTCCGATACATCGATGCTGCTTCCCTCTCTTGTCTGGAATTGGGAAACTTTATCAATTTTGCCTCCAATTTCCTTCCTGCCATCATGTTAACCTGGTCTATCTCTGACTCCTCCCTTCCCTTCCTCGACATTTTTGTTTCCATTTCTGGGGATAGACTGGCCACTAATATCCGTTACTAACCAACTGACTCCCACAGCTACCTGGACTATACATCCTCACACCCCACTTCCTGTAAAGACTCCGTCCTATTTTCTAAGTTCCTCTGTCTCCGTTGCATATGTTCCCAGCCAGTGACATCAACATCCCATGAAAAAGTGAAAAAGGCTCTCCATCTCTCCCACAATCCCCTGCCCTACACTATTCCTGAAAATTTCTCCTTATTTGTTCATTGACTTTGGCATTGAATCCCTACAGTGTGGAAACAGGCCCTTCAGCCCAAAAGTCCACACCGACCCTCAGAGTACTCCACCCAGACCCATCCCCTAATCTACACCTCCCAACACTACGGGCAATTTAGCATGGCCAATCCACCTAACCTGCACAGCTTTGGACTGTGGGAGGAAACCCACGCAGACACGGGGAGAATGTGCAAACTCCACACAGACAGTCACCCAAGGGTGGAATTGAACCCAGGTCCCTGGCGCTGTGAGGCCACCGTGCCACCCCAATTCCCTGCATTCCCTGCATTCCTTTCACCCGACCTCCCACGGGCTAGATTAAACTCTGCCTCAGGTGGTAGAAGTCTTTAAGATTGCAGATGTTTTCTCTATATAAGAAGTGATGTTCTGAACCTAACAAAACAGGTCAACAGTCTGCACCAACCCTCTGAACAGCATCCCATCCCATGACCCTGCATGGGGTTTTTAACCATTGCTAACCCACCAAACCTGCACTTCACTGGACACTACAGGGCAATTTTTAGCATGGCCAATCCACCTAGGCTGCACATCTTTGGACTGTGGGAGGAAACCCGAGCACCTGGAGGAAACCCACGTAGAAATGGGGAGAATGTGCAAACTCCACGCATCTTTGAGCCGAGCAAAGAAGCATAGGAAAAGTGATCACATAGATCTCATATAAGATACTGCAGGGAAGAAAAAGAAAAATCTAGACTAACTCTTTAAATTAAATTTTCAAAGGGTTGGAAGTTCAAATTAGTAATAGATGAAGTTTAAGTCTATTATGACAAAGCCTTTCCTTCCACTGAATAAAATGGACTGAGGGAGAATAGAAGCTCAACAACTCTGTATTTCTGAAGGATGCAATGGTGTCGGTAGCAGGTAGGCTGCTGTTAAGTTTTTGAATTCATGAGTTAAGATGAATTGATGTATTTATCTCTAATTTCCTTGTGGCCTTGTTACTCTAATCAAAGAAAACATACTCATTGTATCCAACAGTGCTGCATGAGGGAATGTTTTGCTCCACCAAATACATAGGGTTGATTCATTACAAAAACAGTTGAACTCACCAAAAACCACAAGGGGCATTTCTACCCAGATCACTGCCAACCTATACAGAAGGAATGGTGCTACAATTCCCCCAAAGTCACACAGTACTGAGCACACTGAAACTGCAAAGTTCCTGTTGAAGAAAATTGAGATTTTATACACCCAGATAAACCCATCATTTGATTTAATTAATTCTCATTTCGAAATCAGAAGCTATGTACATTTATAACAGATCTTCTATGCAAAAATCATTTAGTTTAGACAATATTATTAGATAATATTTGATAATCTGTGTTTGTGTGTGTCTGTATCAGTGATGGATGAGAATTAAAAAAGTCGAATTTGGTCTTAAACAATACTTCTAATTTAGAAAGAGAATTTAAAGAAAAACACCTCCTATCAACAGCCCTGCACCTTGTTGTCTCCTATCAATAGTCTCAGTTTTAAAAAGGATTAAAAAGGATTACTAAAAAGGATTCCTTGCACTTGATTAACATTTTGGCAAAACTATCTTGCTTGGAGGTCTTAAATTTTGAAAGATTGTAGAATAAGGAATTACTTGAAGTCTTATGAACATATCAGGAATGGTTTATTTTGAAAAGGTCATTGAAAATTCACTGTCAATATTAGAGTTTTTTTTAACAAGGGCTTCCTCGAAATCACATTCAGTCATAGAGTCAAAAGAGTCATACAGCATGGAAACAGACCCTTCAGTTCAACCAGTCCATGCCAAACATAATCCCAAACAAAACTAGTCCCACCCACCTGCTCCTGGCCCATATCCTTCCAAACCTTTCCTATTCATGTACTTATCCAAATGTCTTTTAAACGTTGGAATTGTACCCACATCTACTACTTCCTCTGCAAGTTCATTCCACGCGTGAACCACTCTCTGTGTAAAAAAATTGCCCACATATCTTTTTTAAATCTTTCTATTCTCATCTTAAAAATGTGTCCCCAGCCTTGAAATTCCACATCTTACAGAAAAGACAACTATTATTAACTCTATCTATACCCTCCATTATTTTATAAACTTCTATAAGGTCACCTCTCAACCTCCTATCCTCCAGTGAACAAAGTGTCAGCCTATCCAGCCCTTCTTTATAACTCAAGCCTTCCTTACCCAGCAACATACTGGTAAATCTCTTTTGAACCCTCTCCAGCTTAATAATATCCTTCTAGTAACGGAGCGACTAGAACTGGGCACAGTATTCCAGAAGAGGCCTCACTAATGTCCTGTACTTGAGTAGTGATCCTGTTTTGAAAAGTGGCTGGAGTTGGAGAGGTTCTCATTTAAAGTTGGCTCTGTTGGAGAAAAGCCTGCTAAGAACAAGCTGAGTTGGAGGAAAACTTTCAGAGAGCAAGCTAGCCAGCTGAATGCTCCCAGTAATGGAAATAACATTCTCTACCATCATTCAGGGTGAAACTTGTTGGCCCTTTTGAAAGAGTGATTGAAAGAATATCTTAAATTTGTACCTTCTGACTAAGCTGTGTCAGCTAGACTGCAGAGACAATGATGCATGGTTTGTGATTTGACCACATGTGCCAGAACATCAGAGAAACAAACTCCAGAACATCTGTACCACACTACAGACTGTGGGTATATTATCAAAGTATGTGCATCTTTATTGAATAATTTTTGCTTGGATGATCAACCCAAAATTGTATAACTTCTACAACAATCATTTTTAATTTTTATATTTTAAATATCAGTTAAAAGAATGAGATACATTTGAAATCCTATCCGAACATTCTGCTACAACTGCTCAATGTCAATTGGTGCTGAATGGTTAAAAATTAGCTGTTGCAGCGTGTAACAAATTTCCATTTGTACCTACCTTAAAAATGTTGGATATAATTCGGTATTTACAAAGCAGACCATTAAAAAGGCCACCGTAATCCCTAGTTTGCCGAAAGATGAGATTACTGCTTTCAGCCAGTATTGATCTGAATTAGAAAGAAGTTAAATGTACCATTTGCAAAAGAAAAAGCAGATGCTCAGACAAGGATGAAAGATTTTATTTGCTTATGCTTTCAAATACCACAGGAAACCAAACTATTTTAGCGTCTTGGGCAGCACCTTAATTCCTATTCTTTTGAAGAAAAACCTTAGGGAAAATGTTTTATGTGAGGTGCAAAAAAATTAATAGATGGTTGCATTTATTCAGTTCTGAAAATTAAGTTTTAATCTCACATTATGAAAAGTGAAAGAATATTTTTCATTTGTATTCAGCTTTATCGGATCTCTCAAAAATCCCCCAAATATTTCATCACATACCTGAAAGCACAGTAACTATTATGGAAAGAAGTTAGAATAAGTTGGTGATATGGTAAGGAACAGAAAAATCCAGGGACTGAGTCTTGCAAACCCATGGCAGGTCTGTTCAATTTCCATTGTTTTTACTGCTTGTAACTGATAGTTGTAATTTTTCTAATCAGGTATACCTTGTGAATATGGAGTTGTGGATTCTCCCCACAGGGATATCCACATTGTGTGTGCGTTATGACTCAGCATTCATACTTGTATCATCTTGCCAAAACCGTGTCAATTCAGAACACAATCTTATTAACTAAAAACACAAAGCATGCCCAATCATATTTAGTTCTTCCAGGAATGTTCAACATTCTCATGATTGATTCTTCTGTCTTGCCTTTTATTTTAAACCAGATATGTCTTGAAAGATAAAAGTATAGAGCAGAATTTACAAGAGTGTTAAGTATTTGTGGAATGCCTATATCAATTATACCACCATAGTCTGACACTGTGTGGCCTGGCACCCGCTGAACTCCCGCTTTCTCCTGAAGTGGGTCTGCATCTATCCTTATTCCTATGAATCATTGTTGCATTTTGTCCAGTTTGAATGTGCTAAATCTTGTTTTTGCTGTCCAATTGGAAAATCATTTGTCCAAGTGATTCATATGAGTCAAGGTGAGGTTTTTTTTAAATTAACTGTGTATTGAATATACACAATATCTTGTGGTCCGACAAATGCCCAGTCCCAAGGTTACTGGAATAGGGCAGTGCAATCTGGATTATTTGAATCTCTTATGTCTTTGTGCCCATTGCAAATCCCTTGTGTTGGCAGCGGGCGCAATGTGATATTACCTGATTGACAGTTAATAGCAGCTCCCCTCACAAGATAAAATGCCATAATAGAATGGTGAACCATATTTTGTTTACTTTAGATGAACCATGGACATCATATTGAAGACTATAGTGTCTAGATTAAAATATAAGATTACGAGATGTAATTTACCATCAGGTATGAAGGCGGTTATCAGGCAAGATGCTCCTGCCAGGAAATTGCCTCCTGCAAAGGGATAGCGACGTCCTACTCGGTCAATGAGAAGGATAATGATGATTGCAGCTGGTAGCTCCACAGCTCCTGAGATGAAGAAATTGATGTAAATGTTTCCTCCCATAATCCCCAAACGCATGACAAGCCCGAGATACACCACAGCACTTGCAAACCTGAAATAAAGGATTGGATCCAACTTATTACCACAGGTTCATTGCCAATATTTGTAAAGACAACTGTCATTGTGTAACTGATTACTTTTGCTAAACTCTTGATGTCCCCACATTTGAATTTGTTCCAGCAGTTAACTGTTTAACATAATAATAGGTAATGCATCAGATTAAATCAAATGTAAATAATTAGACAATGACCTTCAGTATGCTTTCCCTCATTCTGTGACTCATGTAGTAGAGAAAGTCACAAGGGGCATGGTCCTTTGAAGACATTTTGACTCACAAAGCAAGACTTTTATTTTCACTGTGTTGATGCAGCCAGTTATTTGTCTGCAGAACCCTTTACTCTTCTCTTTCTATCAATTTTCAACAGATTTTCCAAGTAGATCCAGGATTAAACTGAGATACTGAAGTTGCAATCCCAAGTCCTTCATTCCTGCACTCAATACCTCTTGCACCTCACTGGCCACTCATCGGTTCTTTTCAAAGAATGAAGGTTGCAAAGTGAACAGAGACCATGTATTTAAGAAAAGACTCAGATCTAAATATTCCAAACGTTTAAAAGTTTAAAACAACATGGAATACCCTGAGGAAATTATTCCCTCTCCACACATGTATCAATTTGCCACAGGCTGGAATCTGCCTAATCTCTTTAAGAAGACAACTCATCATTTGATACACTTTCAAACAGATCACTAATGTTCCTTCTGAATCATGAAGAACAACTAATAAAAACCCCATCATATCAATTCAACTTTATAACCCATACTTCAAGCCTTCATCAACTGCATTCTTTGCAACATTTCTTTAGGAGAATATGCACATGATAATCAAGGAACTAGGATATAAAGCAGCATGTGAGCAGCAGTCTGCAGGTGAAGCTTAGTGTTGCTCTTAGAAATGGTAGTTGCTGCTGCATGCTATCTGTTCAATGATCCTGCATTGTGTAAATGTGTATTAGTTATAGTCTTCAAACAAATCAAACCTTCCCAAAGTTTACCATTTCTACGTGTGTGATTGATGAGTTTGTGTAAAGAAGTCAGAAGCAGAATGTACAAACTAATCCTTGGTTCCAACATTGGCTGAGAATGAGATGGAGATTTAAAATTTCAAAAGTGAATAACTGAAATTTTGAGATCCAGTAAAATTGTTGGATGAGACCAAAGGGGAGATCTATTTGCCCGTTGCTGGCTCAAAACCAAACTGGAATAGTGGACACACACACTAAGGTCTTCATCTGGTTTATGAGCTGAAGGTAAACTCTGTAAAGTTGATTTATCTATTCGATATCTTTGTTAAATGTTAACTGTTGACACTCATCCATCCATCCAATGAAAAGACAAATAATAATCAACAAGTAATACAATTATAACAGATCCACAACTATGGTGGAAGGAGTAAGTCACATAATCTGCAACCAACACACCACTGCCAGGTTTTGTGGTAGAGAATAAGTCAGTGTGCATATAATAGATATTTTTAATCAATCTGTTCAGATATGTTATGACAAACCTCTGGAGCAGGTAGGGTTTGAACCTGCTTCTGGCTTCTTTACACAAACTCATCAATCACACACGTAGAAATGGTAAACTTTGAACCTGAGGCTCTGGCTTAGAGATAAGGGCACCACCACTCTGCCACAAAAGCCCCAGCGTGCATAATGTATGCTTTGCCTAGTTAAGTCCTGAAATGACACTGGATCTTATTGATGACATAAGGTCCCAATGTAAATGGCTAAATTAACTGTGTCCTTGGATCACACCCAAATGGTGATACCACAAAGAGAAAGGGGATGAAGCAGTAAAGCTATTCCACTCAAATTTCAAACGTTGCCTTTTTCTTCTGGTAGGAGTCATTAAAATCTTTTCCAATGACAGCTAGACGCATGCCCTAATTCACATTCATACATACAAATTTTAACATGATCTCACCAGTTGAACATCAGAATAAGAGTATGCTTCCTTATCTGCAGTGTTTTTACCAAGTCTATAACTGAGGGTCTCTTCAATGCTTCAGTACAATCTTCGATTTGAACTGTCTGCCAAAAAAGTACACAAAATGATAAAATGTTCAGCATAGTCACTTATCAACAAACAATATGAGCAGGAAGTTTCAAATAAAAACATCAGCTCTGGCCTAAAGCAATAATTGCCATCTCCTTGGGATGGTCATTGCACATTAGATATTATGATCACTTGCTTCACCATACTTGAGAATTAATCATATCAGTGTTTCAATAGTTTACTCAAAAGCCAGGTACTTTGCCAGCTGTCTGGTATCATGTGGTACTGCGTTATAGATATTGGGTATCTATAGATATCTAATAGATAGGAATCTATTTCTTGCCTGCGGAGGCATTGTGACCAGTGCATTTCTGAAGAAATGTCCCTCGAAACAAAACATTAACTCTGCTTTCTCTCCATAGATGTTGCGCGACCTGTTGCATTTCTCTAGAAAATTTTTTTTTTTGTTTTGCATTTTGATGTTTTCTTTCCTCTTCTAAACAGCTATTTTGATCATAATTAAATGCATTCTTTGTCAGAGCAGTGGTCGGGATAGTTGAACAGTTTCAGTATCTGTAGTCTAAGTATGGGAGACCTTTGCTACTGGTTGATCATAACCTAATGACTCCTGCTCACCTGTGAAAGTCTTTCCATCAGCACAAGTCACAGTGAAGAAGTTTACATCAGAGTACAACAGGACTTTGATCAGATCAGCCAATCGGCCAAGGAGTGGCAGGTGGATTTTAATTTAGATAAACGTGAGGTGTTGCATTTTGGAAAGGCCAATCAGGGCAGGATGTATACACTTAATAGTAGGGTTCTGGAGATTGTTGCCAAACAAAGAGACTTGTTATATAGGTTCATAGTTCCTTGAAAGTGGAGTCCCAGGTAGACAGGATAGTGAAGGAGGCGTTTGGTATGTTCACCTTTATTGGTCAGTGCATTGAGTATTGGAGTTGGGATGTCATGTTGCTGCTGTACAGGACATTGATTAGGCCACTTTTGGAATACTGCGTGCAATTCTGGTCTCCCTGCTGTAAGAAAGACGTTGTGAAACTTGAAAGGGTTCAGAAAGATTTACAAACATGTTGCCAGGGTTGGAGGGTTTGAGCTATAGGAGAGGCTGAATAGGCTGGGGCTATTTTCTCTGGAGTGTCAGAGGTTCAGGGGTGACCTTATAGAGGTTGATAAAATCGTGAGGGGCATGGATAGGGTGAATAACCAAGGTCTTCTCCCCAGGGTGGGGGAGTCCAAAACTAGAGGACATGGGTTTACGATGAGAGGGGAAAGATTTAAAACGGACCTAAGGGGCAACTTTTTCACACAGAGGGTGGTGCATGTATGGAATGAGCTGTCAGAGGAAGTGGTGGAAGCTAGTAGAAATACCACATTTGAAAGGCATCTGGATGGCTATATCAACAGGAATGATTTAGAGGGATATGTGACAAATGCAGACAGCTGGGACTAAATTAATTTAGGATATCTGGTCGGCATGGACTAGTTGGACCAAAAGATCAGTTTCCATATTGTTTAACTCTATGACTCTATAACTTTAGGAGACCAAGAGGGGGAAAATAAGTAGAAAGAAAATGCCTAACAATGTTGGGAAATTGCCATGGTAACCACCTTAATATCTGTCGAGAAATTGTGCTTTTTATTCCTTTTTGCCACATTCTGTAGAATTCTTTGGGCCTCGTCATATTTCTTTCGAGACAGCAACCATCTTGGAGATTCTGGCATCAGCCTATGAAAGGAAGACAACCAGGTTTTTGTCATGGCACAGCTGGTTTCCACTCCCAAGCCAGCAGTAATGATTTCTTTGTTCAACATTACCAATAGTAGGTGAGGAAGACAAAGTGTGGTAAGGTCGCCGCCAGTTGCAGATTTCTCCAGGCTGGTATGAAAACAGCAACAGCAGCAAGTATTATCATCCCAAAACTGAAGCACATCTGGTTCAAAATGCCCACTGTTCTTCTGTATTCCATCCCAACAATTTCTGTAACTGAGATTAAAGTTAAAGATAATAGAAATTTAGACTCCTATTGGAAATTTCCATTCCCGCCTCCTTGAGCAACAGGTTCTCAATCTGAGATAGTAAGAACTGTCGATGCTGGAGTCAGAGGTAACACAGCGTGGAGCTGGAGGAACACAGCAGGCCAGGCAGCATCAGAGGA